TCTCAGCAACTATTGGCTGAATGACAATAGAGTGTGCATCCTCTCTTGGGCTCAGGGGGTTTGGCTCTGCCTGTGGCCATAGGGATGGGCAAAGAGATGGAAGATGGGTACTTAGGGAGAAGGCCTCATCACAAGGCACAGCTTTCACTCTAGGGAATACCCATGTTGGGAGTCTTTTCTTCAGATGATGTGCTGTTTTAAGAGGCTGCACCCCGTTCCTGCCTGTCAGAGGAGCCTGGGTTGGAGCTTAGCTGTGTGACCTTAGGCATTAACTTCTCTGAGCCTCAGTTTTCTCATCTATAAAATGGGGTAGCGATGGCACCCCTCTCATAGGTGGTAATGAGGAACAGCAAGCCCATTTGTGTGAAATGCTTTGCCCACATACCAAGTGAGGACTCAATGTTGGGAGACGATACTAGCAGCAAGCATGTAAGTGGTGCTGTTGCTTTGGGGAGAGAGATTCAGCTTTCCAGGTGAGCAGTCTGAACATCAAGTTGCTGTAGTGCCTCTCTGTTTCCTCTGTGGACCACTCACATTGCATTCTCCGTGACAAGGAATGAATGAACACAGCTTGGGAAGCAGCAGATGAGGTACATTGTGCAGGAGGTAAGCAGCGGTCAGGAGGAAATTCGTTCATTTGTTTGACTGTTTATTGAGCACCTATTTAGTGTCAGGCAAGAGCTGGATACTGAGTCTATAAGAGCGAACAAGACAAAGCCTTTCTCTCTTGTGGCAACTACCCAGGAGCAGAATCATGACTATCAGGGTGAGTAGCCTGAAATCAGGGCAGATTTCCTGAAGTAGATGATGTCTGAGCTGAGTAGGAGTTTACCAAGCAGAAGCTGAAGGAAGAAGTGACCCAGGCAGGAGGAATCCTGGGTATGAATGGCTAGAGGTGGGGGAAGAAATCATGGCATGTACGAGAACAGAGAGTTTGCCAATGTGGCTTGAGCTTGGGGTGGGAGGAGGTGAAATATGGTATTATATGGGATGTACTCAAGCTAAAATATCATTTTAAATTGAATTGAAATTTAAATTGAATTGGGTATCTTATATTTTTTATTTATTGAATCTGGCTGTTATGTTAAGTAGCTGTGATTTAACCTTTTGGGATATTTTTGTATATTTGTTTACATTAAAAAAAAAAACAGCTCTATTGTCCTTATTGGATTAATCATACAGGACAGAACAATCACAGTTACTTACCCCAAGCTTGCCAAAGCTTGATCTCATTCAAACTCTACCTGCCTAGCCTCACCTCATTCAATCCTCCAATGAGCCTCAAGGGCAGGACCATTATTATCCCTAAATGATGGAGAAGAAAGATCGTCAGAGAGGTTAGGTCTCATACTATGCACACAGAGAATCCAGGCATCGGGATAGAAAATAAACTCGGCTCTCCTATCCCTGCCACTGTGTGGGTTTTATATTTCTATGTTAACTTCCACCCAAATATAGTTTTATAGAGTTGCTGTCAGTGAGAAGAAAATTTTGAAATCTACTATTTTCACTTAATATTATATCAAGAACTTTCTCCCACCTTTTGAAGTTTAAGTGCTTATGTAAAACTGTACTAGACGCAGGGGAGTAAACACACTTGGATTTTATCAAGTGCTTCTCAGGAACACGCTTGGGGATGGGCACTGGAGGTGGGAGATCAATCAAAGCTGCCTAGGAACCAGGAAAGTTGTCGGGTATCTAGCTCACTGAGATTTAGAAATCTTGTCTCACCTCTTGGACTTTTCCCCTGAATTTAAAAGGAGTATGTACTAAGTTTGTAAAATATGGAAGGTTTGGGAAAGTTAAAGAAACAGGAAAAATAAAAACTCACCTGAAGCATTCAAATTGTTACACATTTTGGGGGAAGCATATCTGGCAGGACCTGTTAAAAATGAAAATGCCCCTTACCGGGATGGCTTATTTTGCTGGGTGGCATACTGCAAAGCAAATGTCGCTGGTTCGATCCTCAGTTAGGGCACATGTCTGGGGTTGCTGGTTCAATTGATACTTCTTTTACACATCGATATTTCTCTCCCTCTCTTTCTCCCTCCCTTCCCCTTTCCCTAAAAATAAATAAAATCTTAAAACTGAAAATGCCCAACCCATAGATTTTACTCCTAGTAAACTATTTTGTGCACATGAAAGCAGGAGTATGTAAAGATATGTATCCAGGGACTTAAAAATAATTTCAACAACCTAAATATCCATAACTAAGGAGAGTGCTCATGGAGCCATCATATGCTGGGATCTGTCAGTTATTACAAAGAATGAATTATAAACTCAAAGTAGAAAGATGTCTGTGATAGATTCTTAGGTGATGAAGAGCAAATCTAGTGTAAGTTCTATGGTGACTTACAGTTTATATAGTCTAATGTTGTATAGTTTCAAAACAGTAAGAATTCTTTTGTAGGATGTGAACAGACACATGTAGATGTCAGAGAAGGAGGTGCAGATACAGCTCCAATTGTTCATGTTACTTCAGAGGACAGATGGGAGTCCGAGAGGGAGGAGAATCAGGAACCTATAAAAAATGTATTTCATGTTGGTAGGATTGTTCTAATTAGAAATATTGCTTTTTGGGGAGATACAAAGTGGGTAAAAGCATCAAATATATGGAAATGGAAAGAAGGTAGACTTCAGGTGGTGAGCGTGCAATAGAGTACACAGAAGTCAAATTACTGAAATTCAAATGTACACCTGAAATTATATAATGTTATTACCAATATTACCCTAATAAATTTAATTTAAAATGAGAAATTTTACTTTTGTAGTGAAACACACTAAAATACACATGTGTAAAAATTATCCCTATCCCTAGAGAGAACTACTGTATTTTGATGTGATTTCATTTGCTTCCCCATAGATCAATATTTTACATGTATTCGTTACATACAATTTTGTAGTTTTCTTTTTCACACTTCCAGGTCAGAAAACATCCTTATAAACAACATTTGTAGTGGCTGCTTAAGAGGGCATAATGTGGACTATTTAACCAATCCCCTCCCTATTCTGACTTTTACTTTGTGTATGATTTTTCATTATTATGTTGATTTTTTTTAGAGAGAAAGAGGAAGGGAGAGAGAAACATTGATTTTTATTGTTCCACTTATTTATGCATTTACTTAGTTGATTTTTATATGTGCCCTGACTGGGGATTGAACCCATAACCTTGGGTCTAATAAACTGAGCTACCTGGCCAGAGCCTGATTTTTTTTCACTATTATAAACTACACTTGGAAAAAATGATGATTATACATTGATTTTCAAATGTAAATTAAACAAGTGACTATTGAATGCTTATTAAGTCTCAGGTGTGCTCTTGGCACTGGAGTTCCAAATTTGTGGTCTGGTTAGACAGATAATCTAGCACATGGTCTGCAAATGTGGTTAATTTCTTCAGAATAGAATCCTGAAAGATGAATTACTTCTGGTCCAAGGGAGCATCAGCATTTTAAAAGATTTTATTTTTGGCTCATATTGCTAAATTGGTGTTCAGGAATTTTGAAGCAATTTATATGCTTCCAACAGTATGTGAGTGATTTACCCATCAGAACTTTGTCTAAGTTTAGAGGTTCATCTGAAACTAATTTTTAATTTGGTAAAAACCAAAAGATTTGCATCAGCATCTTGTAGCTTTAATTTGCATGTCTTTTGTTAGTATAGCATTGACATTTTTTTTCAGTAGTTTCTTCAAATAGTGAGTCCTCCATCAAGCTCTATATGTGGAATATTCCTTTTCTTTCTTCCCAGGTATTTGATATCTCCTTTTTTCATGGATGTTGGATATTTCCTTTTTCATTTATTGTGTCTGGAATCTGTTCCTAGGCTTTCTATTCTGCTTCTTGGTCTGCACAGTACTGAACTGACTGCAGTAGCTTTATAATTTGTTTTAATATCCATTGTGGCAAGTCCAGCCTCATTCCTTTTTTGTTCCCAAAGGGGAAGACCATAGCTGTTTTTGGCTGTTTATTCTTCCAGGTGAACTTATAGTTTTGTTAGAATTATATTAAACTTATATAGTAATTTGGAAAGAAAAGACACATAATCAGCCGTCTGAGGGGTTATTGAATTGGTTTTCAGTCTTGAGTAGTGCTGGGGCATCATTTCTCTACATGGCAAATCTGGGTTCCTCTCAGACTTTGACAGTGGTGTGTTCCTTTGTTTGGTGTTCGAAGTAGACAGAGGTTCATTAGAGAAGTGGCCGCGGCTCTTGGCCAGCCCCGGCCCCTTCTCAGGCCATCTGAATGACCGCCTGGAGCCTGGGTCCCGGCGGGCCAGTTTAGGCGCGTCGCTTGACCCCAGGGGCCTTCGAGGGGCTGCTGTCACCGGAAGGGGCTGGCTGAGCACGGCTTGATCTCGACCTCCGCGCCCTCTGAGCAGGTAGGACCAGCCTGCGGGGCTGCGGGCGCCGGGTCCCGAGGGAGCGCAGGGGTCAGGGGTAGGAGGCTATCCTCTCCTTGAGACTCAAACAGCCGGGGTCTCCCCAGGAGCCCAGACCACGCAGCCTACATTCTCCGGGGGCTGCGTCTTTGAAGGTGGGGTCCCTGAGGGAGGCACGCATTAAGGGTGAGAAGGTGTCTTGAAAGTGGGCGCAGGGCGTTAGGGGTTCTTCATGGGGGGCTCCGAGAGGTCAGGGTCAGGCTCAAAGGGGGTCAGTTCAGAGTTTGGGGGCTGGGCCTGGGCCTGTGGGGGGGCCGCAGTCCTCTTCTCTGGGGTGTGCAGTCCGGGAGTTTCCGGGGCGAGGTAGCAGCCCAGCCCCCTCACCTGGGGTCCGGAACCAGAGGGGCGACCAAGGTCGGGGTCCCGAGCTCCCCTCGGGCGCCCCTCCCCCACGGCGCGGTCCGGCGACCGTCCGCTCCGCCCAGCGCTCGGACCGCTCGCCCGCCGACCCCGCCCCCTCAGGCCCCGCCCCTGGGGCAGGCCCCGCCCCGGCCCAGCCCCGCTGCTCGTCCATTCAGTTGTGGGTCAGGGGTGAGCAGGCAGTGCCGACGTCACAAGCTTCCAAGATGGCGCTGGGCGGGCGGCTGTGAGCGGCGCTCCGGGCGCGCTGGGCGGGGAGCCGAGCCGGGCCGGCGGCGGGAGGACGGGGCGGCGCAGGCCGGGCGCCGAGGACGAGGAGCCGCAGGCAGGGCCGGCCGGCCGGCGGGCTGAACGCCGCCGCCGACGCACATGAGGTGAGGGGCGGTCAGGGATAGCTAGGGGCGCGGGCGGGGGCCAGGGGCGGGCGCGCCCCTGGGGGCAGGGGTGTGGGCGGGCGCGCGCCCGGCCGACGTGGGGCTGCGCGCGTGGGAGGGGCGCGAGTGTCCGCCGGGCCTGGGCGGGGCGCACGCGGGACCCTGCGCAGCCCGCTGGGGCTTTGTGGTCCCGGTGCCCGCCTGGGCGCAGGCGGCGGGGGACCGCAAGCACAAAGCCCCCGGGGCCGCGCCAAGCCTGGACGCGAGTCTGCGGAGCGCGGGTCGGCGGGCGCCGGGCGCCGGCTCTTTGTGCCTTTTCATTAGCAATCTAATCCGAACAGCGTCGGGCGAGCTGCGCTGCCTGACAGGCGGGCGGACTCCCATTATGCAAAGGACCCTGCGCCCGCGGCTGCCCCTCACTGGGGGATTTTGCTATTTCCAGAACTGCGGCCCTGCGTGGTCTGCGGTCCCCTTCCTTTGCCCCCTCCCACAGAAAGACTGGCAAGACGAGCAGGCCCTAAGAGGGGCGGCTCCCAGAACGCCAGGTCTTGCGGCTGGTAGGCTGGCTGCCCTGCCCCCAGATCGCTCCTGTAGGCAGCCGCTTGGCAGGAAGAGAGATGGGCTTGGGGGAGGGGGTCGGCTGGCAGAGGGAGGGGGCTGAAGGGCCCCAGCTTGTCACTCTGTTTATCTACCAAGATTGTTCATATTCACACAGGCCTAGCTGATGGGGGGTGGTGGAGGCGGGGGATGTCTCTCCCGGGTGTGTGTTGGGGGGGGCAGTGACTTATGGAGGGGAGGGAACCAGGCCTGATAATGCTCCCAGCGGCCCCACCCAGAACAGCGTGGGACTGCCTGGAGAAGGGGGCCCAGTGCTGTTCCGAATAGGCTGGAGCAGTTTTGAAGTTATTTATCCATGCCTTCTCCTATCCCCTCCATCTCCAGTGTCTTTTCTAGTAGGAGTTCCAAGCACATCTGGAAAGCTGGGTTCCCGCCCCCCACAACAGCAGGAGGGGTGTAACCCAGGGAGGCCACCCTTCTGACACATGTGGTGGGGGGAGGGGCAGTGTCTTGCCCATAGGAATCCTGTGGCAGGGGGTTGTTGACTGATGTGGGGATTGCTGTGCTTCTTGTACTGAGGCGAGAGAAGAGCTGGCAGGTAGTGGAGGGGCCTTCAGAGCCTCTAGGCTGATCTTGGGGGCTGTTCTTCGGGGGCCTCTGGTTGGAGGGATGGAGTTGGGGCACCCAAACTGAGCACCTTTCTGGAGCTAGCACGTTTTGCTCCCCGGCTTCTGGCTTTACTTCTTCCTCTCCATTTCCATCTGCCAGCGTCTGGACTCCATGGGCCTTTCAGCAGACATTTTCAGGAGCACAGGCCATGTGGCCAGTCTGTAGCCCTGGCTCAAGGAAAGAGTGTACTCTCAGTGGCAGGGTTGTTGGAGTGGTCTGAAAAAAAGCAGATGGGCGGCCTCAGGCCGGCCTCTAGAGACAAAGCTGTGTGGTGAGATTGCTGGTTGAGCCCGCTCTTAGCTTGGGGGTGGGGGTGAGGGTGGGGGTGGATGGGAGAATGATACTTAAGGGCTGCAGTGAGTCCTTTGGCCCCAGAGCAGGTCACTGTGCCTTTGGGTGAACCTTTAGTCCTGCCCAGTTGGGCTTACTATGAAAATGTCTATGTACCATAGGCAGGTCATAGACTTGGAAGGCTGGGAGGAGGCTCCCCACCTGCCTGCCTATTTTGGGAGTCAGAGCTCCTAGGTTGGTCTGCTCTTCTTTGGCTCCTGGCTTCCTGCAAGCCTGTTTTGGAGTGTTGCTGAGTGCCTGTTGCCCAGCCTCTCTCTCTAGCTTGGACTAGAGTGCTGGTGCGTGCCCAGAATTTATCCCTGCAGTGTTTTCCTGCCAGTTGTTGGGACTTGTAGATTAGTCACTCGACTTTTATAAGCGATTCCTGAAAAGAAAAATCTCCCTCAGGTTGCTGGCTCTGTGTAGAGGAAGAAGCAGCCTGAGGGAACCAGGTCTTTAATTAAAGCAAAACTGAAGTGATTGCTGCAATTGCTGGCAATAGAAAGGCAGAGGCGATGTGTCCTCTACCGCTGCTTGGTACCTGCTTTGAGGACAGGTAGGCATGATCCTGTCTTTGGTCCCTGGTCTTGGCCAGCAGCCCAGCCTTCTCCACAAGCTTCAGTCCTGGATTAATCCTCACGTAGTGTTTTCTTTCCATAGATCAGATTTCTCATTTTGTTAATAAGCACAGCCTCGGAGCCACTTGAAGTCAGCTGTCGTGGACCGGAGCAACAGGGTTTTGCATTATTGAGTTGACAGGCCTGCTGCCTTCCCAGAGTCCTTATTGTCTGCCAGGGTCAGAGCTGGGGGTGGGTGCAGTGCCTTTTAATCAGCAGCTAGCCCTCGGAGAAGGGCTGGCTGGACAGTTCTGGAGAGTCAGAGGAGTGAGGAAGGAATAAAGTTCAGTTTACCCAGGGGACCTGTGGCTCTGCCCTTTTGCTTGGCCTGTTGGCCTCTCAAAGTCAGCCCCACCCCGTAGCTGGCTTGCATTGCCCGCTGGGTCTGAGGGCCACTGCCCGCTGGAAGTGATCACCTGGAGTGGGGGCCCTTCTTTGTGGCTGCTCCTGCTCCCTGGGAGGCAGCTTTTGCCCGACAACAAATCAGGTGCCTGCCATCCTGGCTCTTGGAGTCTGGCTGAGGAGAGACTCTCAGGGCAGTGAGAGGGGGAAGTGGACTTAGTCAGAAAGTTGGGGGGGCCACACTGGTTTTGCCGTTTATTGTCCCTGACTTTGGACAGTGATTAACTCTGAGTCTTAGTGTCCTGTTTCTAAAATGGAAGTAGAACTTGGGTTTACATTCACGTATCACCACCCTCCAGAGCTCAGTCTGAGGAAGACAGACAAGCAAACAAATGATTTGTAAGATGGGGTGATAAGGACTGGCACAGTGACAAACGGAGCTCAGAGGGCACCACAAGGATGGTGGCTGTGAGGCCTGGAGGGCGGGCCCGGCTCTGGGCTGGAGGAACGCCACGCTGCATGGAGGCTGGCTGTCGGAGCGGGTTTCGACGGGGTGTGTATTCAGTCGCAGTGAGGCAGTGACAGAGTGTGACCCTGCAGATGCTGTCACAAGCTAGCCCTGGAACACCCACTGTGTGCCAGGCACCTGTGAGGCTCTTTCACAGGCTTTTTATTCATTCAACACATTTCTGAGAACAAAAGTGCAGTGCCCAGCCCCTGTAGCTAGAGTAATCATGCCGGCGTCTGCTCTCCGGTGCTCACAGACCTGCCGAAAAGTGGTTGGCTCCCACCTGAATTGCCCAAGAGTGCTCTCTCACAGAGGGGTAACTGAGACTCAGAGGTTAAATAACTTGTTGAAGCTGCAAGTAGGCAACTGGTCCGTTTGGGGCTAGAGGGTAAATGCCTGACTCCAGGGACTGTGAGGGCCCCTGTGGTGCGGAATCTGGAGAGGTCTGAGATCTGCGGGGTGCTGGGGGGGGCAGTATGGAGAGCCCCCTCCCAAGACAGTGATCCTGTCTCTGGGTTAGGGGCTTGGTTAGGGACTTGTAAACAAACCTGGCCAGTTTGACTTTGCCTAGCACCACCAGGCTGTGCTTCCTTCTGGGAGGGGCCTTGCCCTAAGGGTTAGGGACCTCAGCTGGGGGAGGGCTCAACCTGGAGCCCAGTTTGAGTTGGGAGTGGCAAAGCAAGAAAAGCCAGTGGGGGTGGGGGTTGTGTGTGGGTCCCCAGTGAGTTTGATAAGGGAGAGAAAGCCAGGAGCCGATTCCAGGCTTCGCCATAGTCCAGGAGGAAGGGGCCAGAATTTGGGCACCTTGACTGACTAGAGAAAGGGACCCTACGAAATTGCCTGGGACAGTGGGGAAGGAGTTCAGAGCCCCTCCTTCTGACTGTTCAGTTTCTGTGTTTTTCACGGCAATGTCCTGTGTGGGTGAGGGGAAAGGAGAGTGTTGGCTTTGGGTTAGAGCAGGTCCTTCTACTAGAAGGGACAGTCAGCTGCCTCTTACTGAAGGGCCTTGCTGCTGCTTGTGAGCTTTGTAGCACATTCCTGTGGGGTGGGGGTGGGGTGGGTGGTGGGAAGGGAGAGTAGGTTTTGGAAAGGCAAGTGGCCCAGTCTTTTCATTCATCCTATGGCAATTCCAAGGGCAACTAAGGAAAGGCAGAGCTTGGGCTTGGCTTAGTGGGTGCCTCTGTCACAGGGAGTTAGCCTGTTGTGGCGATGGAAGGACTGCTGGCTCTGTGTGGGCGTGACTGCTGTGCAGACTCCTCCCATGCCTCCCAGGGTGCTCCCAAGGCCTCAAGCTGCTTTCCCGGCAGCACCTCTGGATGAGTGGGTTCTCTCAGGTGACCGTGGGGCCACTCAGTGCCTTGAGAACCGCACCACCATCCCCTCACACACATGGGTGGAGGTGCCACTTCCTTCACTGCACTGGGGCCTGAGCCCCTTAGCTTCATCAGCTTGGTTGCAGGCCTTTAAAGGAGGGGACTGCCCCATTGCCTTTGCAGTTCCTTCACCTGTGCTGCTTTGCAGGATAATAAGCTCTTGGTGAGTTTTTGTTTGCACAAAATGAATGAGATGGGAGAGTGGGGTTGATGGCTGGAGGGTAGGCTGGGGCCTCAGTGGCCTGCCGCTGTGTGGACACTGGAACTTTCCTTGGCAGTGAGCACAGGCTACACATTGAGCCATTGAGTGTGTGCTGTTACCTGTGCTGCCTAGCTGAGGCCTGCCCGCTGCCGCTCTGTGTCTCAGTTCTGCATATTAGGATCACCTGGGAGCTGGTGGAGGCCAGCCGAGCCCATCTCTGGGGTGGGCCCGGGCATGCATGTGTCCTAAAGCTTTTGAAATGAATCCGGTGTGCAGCCAAGTTTGAGAGCCACTGCTTTAGCAGGTGATAAGTCTTTGTCAATAATAGAAGCAAGCAAGTGGTGAGTCCAAATAGACCAGTGCATGTGACCTGGGGTGGTCACTGACTGCTTTACTCTGAT